ACGACCACGACCACGACCACGACCACGACCACGACCACGACCACGACCACTACTACCACTACTACCGCGACCACTACCTACTACCTACTTTCTACTTACTCCTCCTCCTCCTCACCACTTCCACCTTACTGCTTTCATAGCTATGAGAATATAGGGTGGGGGGCCTTGCAGACCATTTTATAGTTGTAAAACGGTCCGGGTAACCTACATTAACCTACTCAAGGCTATGACTTGGTAAAATCCCTAGGCATGAGGGTGGCGACAAAAACCTAGTTCACTATAAAATCACCATGCCTGACCTCAGAAATACAACTTGCACATCAGCAAAAACTGTCACAGTTTCACAACAGTGTTAAAATCAACACGTTTCCTCTATAACATCACCTCCTGACCCCCCCATCAGGGGTACCATAAAACGTTTTATGTGAGGGGTAGTCCCTGGAGATTTCATACGTATATATAATAGAGCATATTCACATGGCTATCTACTTTCTACTTACTCCTACTCCTCCTCCTCCTCCTCTCCTCCTCTCCTCAGCCGCTTCACGCGCCGCCGCCAACCCCTCGCTTCCTCCCAGGCGCCGCGGCCGACGGTGGCCACGGTGGCGCCGTCGCGGCTCTTGAACTCGAAGGAGCGCTCCGAGAAGCTTCCTTCCTTGCGGCCGCGAACGGGTGCGGTGGTGCGGCTTTCGGCCTCGCGAACCGAGGGCAGGGGCTTAGGAAGGCCTTACGACTAACGGGCCGGAGCATTCTTCCTGTGAGCTGACGGAAGAAATATGGTGCCTTCCATATTGACCTTCCGGTGTGAAACTTGCATGTGGGGCACATGGCCAAAAAGGGCGGTGGTACCACATCGTGTTGTTTTGTGTTTTGTTTCTTTTTACCTGTTTTGTGTTTGTTTTTGCATGTGGGGTGGATGGATGCATCGTCTTGTGTTTGGAACATGTGGGGACCACGTGTTCACCTTCCACCGATGTCTTGGACGGAGTGTCGCCTGACGTCCGACACCGACCCAGACCGTAAGGGACCGGAATGGACCAGGAAGGGACCGGAGCAAAGGAAATCAGGTCATGGAGGAGAATCCCGCTCCAAAGCTAAAGCTTATCAAACTCAAGGTTGCCTAGCAAGCTTTCGTGAAATGGGACTTGGAACATGACGATGGGCTTGAACTAAGCCTGCCAGACTGGGGGCTGACGAGCTAGGGGGCAGTGAGGTGGGAAATGCTCTGAAGAGGGGCCGGCTTGAGCAGTTCGGCACCCATGGCTAGGGCGAAATTTGTTTCACAAACTTGTGTTTGGTTGACACCCGCTTAGAGCATTCACAGGATGCAACAGCTTGACCAATCGGACTCTTGGATAGACTGTCCGATGCTCTCCCCATCTCTCTCCGGCCAGTTGGCCGTTCCTAAGTGGAGGAATCCCAAGTCATTCCCTAGGGCTCCAAGTATGTTAGAAGGTATGACTCTTCTAAGAAGGTCCGACTGGAGCCCTAGGGCTTTGGTGTTGATCTCTTAACCCGAAGGTACAGAGTGCGCAGAGCCGGCTCTGGCGAATGCTGAAACAGGCTGAAGAGCCTCACCCAACCCATTTTGAGAAGCCATGGCCCAGGAGAGTGACAGGGATCTGGTGGTTTCGGTGAAATTTGTGAGATCAATAAAGGAGTTTTGACCCAACGACAACAACATTATCATTACGTGTAGTGCATAATTGTACAACTAACTGATCACGTCCTGTGGAACAAAGCAAGCTGAACCTATACTGAAATGTACTCCACAACCCCAACATGGCATTGTAGCACATATCGTAAAGAACAAGAACCACATGGAATGTGACAATCAACCTGAAACAACCAGTTTTGCACAAAGGGCTGTCCTCATCCCATTCAGGTTCTTTTGATTCCCTGCAGTTTCTCAGGGTTCATGTACCCTAGAGGGTTCATGAACCTCCTCAGAGGGTAGCCAGGGAGGGTAGCCTGGCCGCCAAATGTTTTAGAACCAGAAATGCGGCAAGGAAAGTCACAAAACAGAAGATTACGGCTTAATCTGGTGTGAAAAATGTGGCAAAGAGGACCGAAACATCGCCACAATCATATGCCTAGGACCACGTGTGCTTAAACCCGATACTCCACCAGTTCCATTGCGTTACTGGTGCCAAAAACAATTCAGATCTTTTCTCCTTCGAGCCCACTGTGCACAGCTAACTGTAGCTGCACACAACCCTAAGCCCTTTCGGAGACTTGTGGGGCAAACCAATCTATTCCATCCAGCAGTTCGAGTGTTGCACCCCCCCTCGTGTGGCATCACAAAGTGACTTGCCTCGCACAGGTGTTGGTTGAGCAACACCAGCACGGAGGGCTCTTGCGGTATGCAAGCTGCGCTCGGACAAACCACTACTATTGGGACCCTGGCACCCACCCCAGTCCTTCTCAGAAGGTCTGACTGGAGGTTTAGGGGTGGTTCGCTTTGCATCCTCAAACATCACCACGCCACCCGAACCTCGCCACGCGAAAGTTCCCTGGGGTCGGAAATGTTCCTCTTGGGTCGAGGAGATGTCATACAGGTCAGGAACTGACGTTCTTTCTTATAACTTTTGCTAGTAAGGTCTTATTAGCTATGAGTTAGAGCTCTAGTCTAGGCCCTAAAAACTTTCTCTGAGGGGGTAGGTAGTAAAGGAGCTAGTCCTTTAGAGTTCCGATTTGGAGTTGCTCATACCCAAAAACACTCTGACCCAGCAAGTCAGCTGACCTGTCAGCTGCGACCTGCAATCCGGAGACCAGGTGGTTGTTCACTCCACTTAGTTACTACCATGACCAACCATCTAACCATCTAACTGAAGTGGAGTGAACATTACTACCGATCTAACTTGTGGTAATTACCAACCTCTAACGTGGTAACTTGTGCTAATTACTACTTGTTACTGATGATGTCTTAGTTACCAACCATCTACACTCCCTGGAACTAACATGGAAGTGGATGCCATGGCCCCCCATTTAGGAAGACCATGTTTATTCCACGAACCAAACAGAGGTGATGCCATCCACTTCCATCTCGCCCAGTTCCAGGGAGTATGTCTTCGCCCGAAAACCGTGACGACAGGTTTTCCCTATGCCCTTCCGTTGGCCCCTTCTTCACTCCATCATCTCCGAGTTTCGGCTTTCAGCACGGGCCCACCGTTATCGCCTCCCGTGGTCGACAGGTCGACAGAACGCCGTTTCGGTTGAGGTTTACAAAGGTGATGGAGATCTTTGGGAGGAAGGTGATGTGTTCATGTGTTATTTCATCTCACACATTTTAAGAGTAGTTTTTTTTTTTGTTTTTTTTTTTTTTTCGCACCTAAAAGCCTCTTTTCATCTATGTTCCATCCTGAAAACAACGTGGGGGCCGTTGATCCTGGATCTCCGCTCTGAAAGATGAGAACCTGCGAGGGCACTTGGGTTGATGGGTTGTCTGTCCGGTCCCATGGGCGGTTCGTAGCGACCGCCGAGTGACTCGGTGCACGGATGGATGGCGGACATGTCACCCCACCGTGATTCCACCAGGACGTGGGGTGCTTCTTGTCAGCTTATATGGCAACGTATTTTATTTAGGAATCATAGCAATCCAGTATGCCCTGAAGCCAACCATTTCGAGTTCTGGAAACTCATGGTCGATGTGGTTCACCTGACTCCATGGAGGAGAACCCACCATCAAAACTTCTCGTTGAAAACGACACCCCACCAACCAATCGAGGCAGTCTTCGTGGCAGTCTGCAGTCTGCGTGAAAGGACGTGATTTCTTGAGGTTCGGACCTCTATGCCCAAGTGTATCTGAACGAGAGCAAAACCACACTGCCAGGGACATCGACCGTGCGTTTGGCATCACCGAACTGCGTGACCGAACCGGGCCCAAACGAGACCTCCCGGTCTCCATGACCACTGACGACCGCCTTCCAAGAAGAATTCGAAGGTCTCGGTGAGTCCCAGCATCGCTTTGCTAATCCTCCCGAACTTCGAACCATCGGGCCGTAGCACATCCTCAGGTCGCAGCATCGCAGGCAAGGCAGAAGGCTGACGGCGGAGCGGCAGGCGGAGCAGCATGCGCAGGGCACATGGCCACATGGGAGAGGGGTTGACTGCGTCCATGTCTCAGCGAGCGAAATTCACAACAAACCTGTTGTTTTTTGGGTCCTGTCCTATTAAATAATCAGATCTGCTTAACCTTTTAACATCTACGGACAATTCCGCGCGGTGCTGGACGCCCTTCGCCCCACCCGCAGAGGGAGACTTTTCGAAGACGAAGCGTGGTACGAAGGGCCAAACGAACTCCGCAGGTCGACTGGTCGTTGGCAGGTCGAAGCACGAGTGGGGCAGAGGAGCACCCTGCGAGCTCTTTGGCTAAGAATGGTCCGACATGGGATCTGAGTCACTGACATGGGATACTACGAGAGAGAATGGTCTTGTCCGGATTTCCTTTAGGATCACTCAGGGAAAGTATCACTCGTTGTTTTTTTTGAGGGGCAACATAAAGAAAGGGATACGCCGCTCGCGACAAATCATGCGATCATCTGAGCTCATGTTTGTGGTGTTGCATCATTCCATATCTCTTACTTAGCCAAGACATGTTTTACTATGACATGTAGGACTTGGGAACTCAAGAGAAACACACAAACTGTCACAGGCAAACAGCCAATGATCTTCTCTCGATTTTCCTGGCTTCCTGGCACCGTTTAAGGCGTTTCAAGGGAGGCGGCTTGGTGGCTTGGTGGAGGGGGGTGCTATTGGCGGATGCTTGGACCGCAAATGGCTTGGCTTCATATTTCCACAGCTCGGCTTGGCTTTATACATCTCTCTCTCTCTCTTTTTCTCCCCCACTACTATTTAGGAATCGTTTTAGGGTGTCCCCTAGTGTCTGTGAAAAGGAATTCCGCATGGTGTTTCACCGTGGCCAAAAGTTAATGTTCAATTTGCTGAGTGCTTTCTCTAGCCGGAGGTTAGATTGTTTGGACTCCTGCAAGTGAAACAACATCTATGGGCCTATGGGCATCTAAAATCTAGACTTGGCTACTATAGTAGACAAACCCTTCCAACTCGACCATCTGCTCGCTCGCAATCCGCAACCACGATGCGTGTACATAGGCACAAACCTGCAAAAAAAACACACAGCGCTACACAAATCACTACACAAATACATTTGTGTGGTTTGGGATTATCCGTCCCACGTTCTCTATACCGGAGCATGTATACGCGTGCAAAGCTGTTTGCTCTATCATCTCTATCCTTGGTCAATACCCCAGCTCCCAGCCCCTTGGGCTTCCCAAGACTTCTCGACGTCTCCCCAGGTTCCCCCTCATGCCACGCTCCGAGCATCGTAGGTGGGGGTCATGGCGATCATCTCCCGGTCCAGGCTGGCGATCGTCTGACCGCTGCCGGTGCTGATGGTCAGCTTATCCTAAGAAGTCCGGAGCCGCTGACCGCTGCGCCGTCCCGGGTCCTGTCCGTCGCGGGACGTTGGAGTTGGACAGCCGGAACTCGGAGGGCCATGGAACGAGCGGAATCGGGAGTCCAATTGGTTCGCAAAGGACCCTAGAGAGGTTGAACAGCCCATCCTAGCCCATCCCATAATGCAGCACTACCAGGATCCTAGTTCAGGTCTCTCAACCTCTCTTGGACCTCTCTGGAGACATCCGGTCGTCCTTTATGGATTCGTCCATCCAACGAACAGGCCCGGCCGGAGGGACGAAACTGGTCGACTGATGTGAAGCGAAGCGAGGGCAGCCTGGCGGCACAAGAGCTGAAGAGGTTGAGCCGGACACTACGACTCGGTCGCTTCTTTGACACATACCCTCCGGTAAGCCCCGAAACACAAACACACACACACACACATGCCACGGCTCCCAGACTGGCATGTTGCCAATGGGCAGGCGGTTGCCACCGCTGATGCGCAGAAGCACTTGGCCTTGGGGACAATCATCCAAGGACTGTAGAAACTGTGAAGAGGGGATGGAAAGATGTGTTCCTTTGAATGGCTCTTCATTCGATTTCGGAAACCGCACTTTAAACCATTCCGAATGTCTGACCTTCACCATGTCGCATCCAAGCTTGACACCCCAGAAACCAAGGTGCAGAACCAAAAGCTGGGATGAACCACTGCAATCGCGGCATGATGGCGAAGAAATCTCAAAAACCCTCTGACTATGAAGTCGTTGAATTAATCAGTGTTGTCCTTTCAACCATGACCCACACATCGATTTCAATCTATTTCAAAGACCATTTCAATGTATTCCCCCCTGTGGCTCGTGGTTAGCCGGTTAGCACAGAAATTCATGAAGCTGTTCCCCCCCCAAACAAGTAGGCCATTCTTTTTGAACCCTCACCACCTGGCACCCGGCTCGGTCTCCGCCGCCGGCTCGGAGAGCCCGCCGGCAGGGCGCTCTCTGCCGCCGCAGCCGCCGATGATTCAGGCCGGGTGGCCCAAGGGATTTTTGATCTCAAAGTCTTCACCCGTCATGGACAAACCTTTCCTCAGCCAGGCGCGAGTCGTCGTCCTTCGAACACGCTCCGTGCCGGAGAGCCGACGCGAATCGCCGGTCCGGTCGTTGAGCGAAGGTGAGTCGGTGGCCGAAACCATCCGCACGACGGCCGTCTGTCCGCCAGACGCGGAGGAGGGGAAGGCAACACCATACCGGGTATGGCACAGTTGTTTGGGGGGGCAGCCAGCCAGGTGTCCAAAAAACCAACGGAACCATGGTGGATTTTTGCATTTTCGTCACATGGAATGGTAACACCACCGTTTGCACCGTGCTACTTTTGCACCGTGCTACTCAGTGGGAACCGTTTCGGTGGATCCATGGAATGAGAAGCACGGTCAAGGGGACACGGTCAAGGCCGGCCATCTTGGTCCACTCGGAGGGGTGGCCATCCCGGTCGTTTAAACATCCAACACCTCACTCAGGGTTGCTGTAAATGGACCAGCTATCCTGCAATGTTCATACTGGAGCTTCGTCCCCGTTTCAAACAAAACACCATCGACAAACGGACACCGGCAACCGGCAACGACAGTAGGAACCCTCATCAAATCCCACACAGTTGTCAACAAATCCATCGAGATTGAATCTTTCCCAAATCAATGGGTCACAAAAAGAAGAGCTACTGAGGCAAGAGTGCGACTTGTAGGCAATGAGGGAATGAGGGAAGGAGCTCGCCCCCCTGTGACTGGATCCCTCATTCCCTACTAAGCACAAGACAGTACTCCAGAGGTAAGAACAGAAACAAAAGGAGAGAACGGTGTTTCTATTTTTTGGATCACAAGAAACGAGTATAAATAGAACGATATACTAAAGATGCAAGAATACCAATCCATCTAACAGCTCCATTCTGCCACGCGGCTCCTCCAGTTCGTAGGCCGTGTTGGTGGCATGCATCAATTCCGCATCCAATGGAGCTCGATCACTGGGGATGGGGTTGCTGGGCGCTTTGGGTTGTGGCAAACCCTTGGCATCTTCCAGCATGTCCTCAGGTGAAGACCATGGACCATGGACGTTTTGGCTTTGGAACTCTGAATAGACTGAAACCTTTGTCTTCAAATAGGAAGTCTTTTTCTTGGGGAAGCAAGTTTTCTTCGGAATGGAGATGAAAGGAATTCGTGTTGGGGAAGTAGACATTCCAGGAATGGACATGACATGAAATGACAGGGGGTTAGCATTGGGGAGAAAGCTTTCCTGGAATGGAGATGAAAAGGGATTGGCATTGAGGAGGGTCATTTTTTCCTGGAATGAATAAGGAAAAGGATGAGCATTGGGGAGTATGAAAGAAAGGATTTTCAAGCACCAGAAGGCTTTAGATTTCGGTGGTTCCAAGTTATTGATGAAATAGATATTAAAGGATGCCAAAGGTACTTTTCGGCCAACAAAAGTACATTAGCTGTATTTACGGCACAAGCTCTTGAGGGTATGGTGGCTTGATGGGGAGTGACCCTTTCCTGTGTGTGTTTCGTTTTGGGGGGTTCAGTAAGGGGTTTAAACACCGTTTTCAGCAGGTGTTTGATTCTGGTGGTTCCAAGTTATGAAGCGCAGGTTTCAGGAAGAACGAAGAACAAACATAATTGAGTTTGACAAAAACACTAGAGCTTGTCCTTTAGCTGTATTTTTTAGGGCACGTGTTATTAAACACACGGAGGCTTTGTGGGGGGTCACCTTTTCCTGATTGAGTTGTGGCAATTGTTGATGGTTCGGAGAGCTCTTTTAATTTACCATGTTGGATTTTTGGGTTTCCAACTATGAAATGAAAAGGACACAAATCCTTCCAGAAAATCATCACACCCTAATGAGACACTATAAGTGTGACCTTCCCCACCCCCCGCCGTAAGCTGGCTTTTCCCCCACAGCTGGATGATCGCGCAAGTCTCTGGTAAGGCTTCGCCTCCTTCGGTGTTGGGATTCTCTTCATCGTGGATCTCATCGATGACCACAGCCATGGCCAACACCAAACTGGCCTCGGTGTCGGGTGATTCGGCGTCGAGGAAGGCGTCGTCGGCCGAGAGAGGCGATGGCGATGGCGGAACGCCAGGGCGAGGGATGTGGGGGAAGAATCCCAGTTCTGGGCGACTTTTCAGTGGGAGTCGGTTTGGTGGGAATTGGGAGATAGTGGGAATATTTGGTGGGTTGGTATAGGATCATGCCGGATTTGAGATTGTTCTTTGGCATGCTGTTCAGCAGTTGGTGTGAGAAACCGATCTTTGTATAGGGTTTTTTCGCCAGACTTTCATGTGCCCCGGTCTACCCACGCTCACTCTTGGCAGCTGGTCCTCCATCTCAGTCAGGCTTGACAAATCCTCGAACTGCACTAGGTAAGATGAGGTTTCCTACTAACCCTACAAGTCAAAGACATCATTTTACTGGAGATGGTCATACAAAAACCAATACTTAAGGAGGTAAAAGATCAGGTTTTACTGGGTCTTTGGACTTGTAGGGTTACCTGACTCAGTCTGTCATGCCAAATTGGGGCTTCGCAAAGGAACAGCTGGCCTCTCTGTGTTGGTGAGTGATAAGAGCATTCACATCCCGAGCACGACCTGGAATTCGCGTGAGACTTTCGACACGGGAACCCTGTGGACTTCGCACCACGCACGTGTGGAACATGACGGGATGACGAACGTGTGTGGCGTTCCGAAGCGGAGCCACCTGCTGAAGAGACCGTGGCCGACACCTGGGTGAAGAGACCCACATGGAACCGGAGCACAGAATGCATGGAACGTGGTGTTTTCAGGCGATCTGCACGGGGTCTCTTCCAGGGACTGGAAGATGATTTTCCTCTACAACCCGAGGATGGTGTTTTGCAGGCTCGTAATTCACGGGAGTCTCTTCCAGGGTGTAAGTCATTCTGATCGTGGGGATGCAATTGCTGCGAATGGACCCCCCGATTCTACCCATGACAAAACATGAGTGATTGGTCTGTCAAAGAGAACCAGGAAGGGTGTAGTCGTAGCCAACTTCAGATGAAAACACATGAAAACACACGACCTCCACCAAGTCCGAACGCACCGCTTCAGTCGCAGCAGCATCCACATCCTTTGCAACGATGACCTGGTAATTATCCACGTTGCCACCAGTGAAGCCCTTCAACCGAGTGCCTGGGGGCGGTAGAAAGGAGAGGAACGGCTCCACGGCGGTCGGACGACACCACGTGGTACATCCAATGAATGTCAAATCAACAGGGACATGAAAGAACCCAGCAAACGAAACAGTTTTACATGCGTTGGAACCATCTTTACAAACAACCTATGATCAATCAATAAATACTGATATATATATAAAATAATATATCGATAACATAACAAATAACTATATAAATAAAAGGTTGCTACGTATATAGAGTGAAGGAGTTGATACTTAACATATACATCAACAGGGCACCTGTTCCTCAGTGCTTTTCTCCCCACTCTGTACCGGTCCCGGGCGCAGGTGGCCACCACCTTCCCCTGGCGTGACTTGATGACATAGTTCTTCTCGCTGAAAGAGCCCTCGGCCTTCAACAGAGGACCACCTTCCGGGTCATCCTCTTGGTAGAGCCTCAGCCAGGATCCAAGGCAAGACATGCTCGTTGGTCTGTTTTGGCGCTCCTTTTTGTGTGTCTGCTGCAACATATACGGAGTATGGCAAGGTTCTGATGGTGTTTCTGCGCTGCAGCACATGCCAGGGAGAATGGCAGCATGCAAGAGCATCTGAAAACCATTCTTTGCAGAGTGAGACATGTTGACGACACATGTCGTCCTGTTCCTCGATAACAAATTACAAATCATCACTCCTTTGGCAATTTTGCAGTCAAAAGCAACTCCTTCACTCTACCAAAAAATGCTACTGCAACACTTCTCTCCTTTCACCCCAGGACTTCGCGTGTAGCTGCGTAGCTCCTCTTGTTGGCCGCTGGTTTTGCCTGTTAGTGCTTTGGTTCAACAAGGTCCCAAATCATTGCCCAGCAACTCGAACGTGTTGGTAAAGGCAAACATCGCCTGCACCGGACAGCATCTTCGGTTGGACCGATCTTCCGCTACTTGTGCGGTACGTGAATGAAATCCGCCAGCTATTCATTTTTGGTCAAGCAGTAGGGGTCGAACGAATATTCGGCCAGGAACTCAGCAAACCAATTTTCGGAGTTCTCTGACCGGAGTTTTGACACAATCTTCGGAGACACACATGTTGGAATTGGAATTGTGTGTTCAAGTGTATCGACAAACAAATGTTTGACGACTGTTGGATGTTTCACAAGGTTTTTCTCTAACAACTGGGTGAACAAGATTGGACTGCAGAATGACATTGGCACCCCACCACGGTCGCGAACATCAATAGCTGGGTAATGCTGGGTATATATACCGGTCATCCTCATACAACTGATGTTCCTCGAGTGCCACTTCCAACCGGCGCTGCCCAACTGTTGCTTAAACACCTTGTGAGTGCTTCGTCATCCCATAATTACAATCAACATCAACCAACCATCCCTTTCTTCACCCACATTCTCCACTCCTCAGATCTCTAAATTAATCCTTTCCCATCAAGTCCCATCAACCCATCATCACTTGATTCAATTTCCTTCACCGACCTCGATGTCCAGCTCAGAACGAACTCTTCCAAGGAAATGGACCCAAACCAAACCCATCCAAACCACTTCGACCCCACTCCCACGATGTCACGTGCCCATCCCTCCCGAACTTCTTCGCCGTTCCGGTCCGCCTTGGAGATCCGTCCGAACTTCTTCCCGTCCGCGCGGTTCAAGTCGTAGGACGCGGTCATGGCGAAGGCCTGCCGATCCAAGGTGCCGATCCTCGGTGTCGAGCGGCCAAAACGAGCTGATAAGGAAAAATGGTTCAAAGGAGAGGAAAAAGAGGCAGGATTCCGGGAGTGTTTTTACATAAGACGCTCCAACGGTCAGTGTTGTGCCTGGTCATTTGTCATATTCTATTCACTAAAGGCACAGTTTGGCCAAGGATCTGAGTGCCATCAGCCGACTGAAGGGACAGCTTGTCCCAAACCACGCCAGGGATTGGCACTCGGTTGCCGCCATTGACGCGCAAAACCAGCTCACCTTCCTGAAAGCTGGGAGGATCGGCTGTGAACAGATGAGCGGAGGTGCGCGTGCTGGCTGTATGAAGGCCCGCTTGTGCACCTAACTACACACCTTTATCAGGCCAGGGCCTAGTACATGAAATGAAGCCAATTTCATTTTCAAAATCAAGGTGGCAATAGCGCAGTTGGTAGCGCGTAGGTCTCATAATCCTAAGGTCGTGAATTCGATCCTCACTTGCCACATTTGCGTTCGGTGCGAGAGTCTTCGAAGTTTGCTCGCATAATGCATACACGTGGCATATTGTTATCTTTCTCTGCTCTAGCACACACTGGTGCTTCCATCCCATCTCCCTCACCTCAGCGTCCCTCATGGACATTATCCAGAACATCGACTCCATAGCTGTCAGCAGGATGATAACGCCGCCTCCCCGCCTCCCCAAATCCCCGCCAAAAGCCGACATCGGCAGGGCCACCAGCAAAAACACCACACAACGGCCCGCCGATCTCCGAGTGGCGGGGGTTTTCACTTCGAAGTCTTCACCCGACATCGCCAGGCCTTTCCTTTGAAGCGTTGGGAACGACGTGGACGAGGCGAAGGGATTCTTCATGGGTTGTTCTTTTGGGGAATCGGACTCCGGGAAAGGAGATGAACGGTTTCCGGTGACCTCGTCCTTTGGATTGATAAGAAAATGTGATAAAGTCATTGAACCCATGCGGGACAAAAGCCGGGATCGGTGAATGGGATTCATCTGGATCGACCCCTCATGCGCGGCGGAAGGGGCAGTGCTTCGCTGTGCGGGCCATGGGCCACGGAGTTTCGTTGCCTGCTTGGTTTAAACCACGCCATTACGGTTGACATCAGGACATCTTGTTGAGGTTTGTTGAGCCTTCTTCATTTGCATTTAAAGCAAAAATTGCACACATGACACGCATGTCTATTTACCCAACCAAATACCTCACGAACTCATTTGTGCACTTCCTGGGTTCGGCCAACATGGTATATAACCTTTTGATGGACCCCATCCTCCAAGCAAACGATGGAATCTCCAGCATCACAATCATCATCTATCATCACTATAAGAAGTGTGTACATAGTTTCTTGGTCCACTCTCCAGCTTAACCAACAAATCTCATATACAGTATCAGTCTATTCAACTATAGATCTTCCAAAGCACAAACAACCCAGCCCGGCGCTCCGCTCGGATCTGATCTCAGCTTCTCCTCCAAAACGAAGGCCCTCAACTCTTCGGTCATCAACGCAGCATCAAAGGGCTTCACGCTGCTGGGGATGGCCACGTCCGGTGTTTCAGGGGTCGGCGTTCCTCGGTGCGCTCGGCTCTTGGGCTCTTGGTGTGGTTCGTTCTCGAAGCGAAGACTGGGACGGGAGTTCAAAAGAATGCCAACAAGAACGAGATATATTAATATTATGTATGGAAATGAAGGACAACACTGACATGGAAGAACTAATTACACAGGACAAAAGAACTTCACTCGACCTCTTCTGAGTGCAAAAGAACTACATTCGGACGAACACATCACCTGGAAGTGGAGGGTCATAGGCCCCTGGAAGATGATTTTCCTCCACGAACAGGTGGCTTTTCCACGAACAGTGTTTGGGAGTCAGAGAAAACGACGACCAAAACCCCCAGTGGAACCACGGGGGCGGTTTTGGTCGTACTGAGCCCAGCTGAACGGATGCGTAGCGAAGACGGAGTTGGAAGGACCCAACACTGAGCTCTCCAATGTCTACGGCTGTCAGCCGGTGTGTTGCAAATCTCCAAACAGATTCACTACGCGGTGGCCGAACTGCCGCGAGAAGGAGAACAACGCCCAAACACGCCCCCGAAATCGAAATTCGGGTGGTGCACCTCGACTATAGGTCGGAAGCAACACCGTGAATTTCTTCGTTTGTCTAACATATTTCCAAACATCCCTGGCCTGTATGGCATACATGGACCCCAAACCACCCCAAAGCACCTTTTCTCGGTTTGCCCCACTTTCCATGTGTCGGCCGATGGGATGGATTCAATAGATGCCAGCACCCCAGTTGAGAAAAAGAACGCAGCAGGTCGTTGAGAGAAGGTCAGTTCGCGCCTCCCTCCCCCCAACAGCTGTTCATTAACGATATATAGAGCTTTCATATGGCTGTGGGTTGAATGGCACCCAAAGGCCCCGAACTCACCCAAACCAGGGGCGCTTGACCTCCCAGGTAGTTGACCTGTTCTATTCTGTTCATTCGTTCGCCAGGTGGGAAAAAACCCAGGGTGTCCCCGGTGCCACAAACCAACAGCCATATGATGATTTCGAAGCAACTGCGGAACTACTCGCAGCCCTGTTAGGCTATCACCAGGGCCGCACCAGGTGTTTCTGTGCAAAAAGAAAAACTGTTAGAGCACAAGTGGGTCGACCAACTGCTTCCTCCAACATGTCCATCCAATTCCTCATCGCCACGCCTGAAGAAGTGGAGTGAGGCTCTCAGTGGAGTGAGACTCTCAACATCAAAGATGAAGGGATGTTTCAGCTAACAAGCAGGAAAACTGATACCTAGGACCTAGGTGTGGCTACAGTGCCTACAGAGTCAGTCGCATTTCTAGCAACAAATCCTTTCAACATACTTCCTTTCTTGAAGAAACCGCTTCACTGCAAAAGTGTGCCGAGGTATGGTGAGAAAATCAAAACCACTGCGAGCGCAGCTGTTTTTGATCCACATGGCTCTCGAGATGACTTGGATCCCTTGAACCTAGATAGGATTCTGGAACATTCGGAAAACTGCAGCATTCCTTGTTTTCTACTTCTGAAGTTCCATGATTCGTTAAACATCTTCCAACCAACCGGCCAGCCTCTGGAAGGCCTGGGCATAGTCGTGCTTGCCGAAGGTGGCGACGGAAAGGTTGGCGTGACAAAGGTGGTCAAAGAACGCCAGGACATCAAAGCCACTGCCACTGCCGCCGTGCGGCTAGCACTCCATCGCGAGTGCTTTGAGCCCCGCGCGCGATCCGCAGAGCGCAGCATCTTGCCGTTCATGGCGCTGGTTTTTTGCGGGGACAAGTGCCAGCCCAGTGCTGCCCCAAGCAAGAGGAAGCGATCGCAGATAGGAATTATCGAACTTTTGGTGATTCATGTTCTGTGTTGATGGTGCATTGAAAATCTGTTCCTCGAGCATGAGTTGGGTCAGAAGATGCTGGATCTGCAAAAGGCTCAAAGCCTATAATATAACCAAAATTACGAATTGCCAAAACTCTGTGGTGTTGGTACTGAATTTGGACATTGCAGTTCTTTTTCGTGTTCTTTCGTTTGAGCAAAAGCTGAGGTGTTTCCATGCTAGTGAAGCTGCTAGTGTCGAACTAACTCGGTATCACGAATGGTCACAGTCACGAAATCTTGTCCAAATACCGCACCGCAACTCAGCGTCCCCATCTCCAAATTAATTCACTGAAATTCTTCATTGACTTCCTATAACACCGACCGAACGTACGCCAATCAGTGATAATGTAACGACAACCTCCATAGCAACTGATCCCGCAGACCTGCTTTGGGCAGGAGTCACAGGGAACCGCTTAGGCCGCGCGCGACGCGTGCCCCGCTTCTGCGCGACGCGTGCGATGCGCCGGGCCTGGGAGCTTCTTGAGCGCTCGTTCGAAGAGCTCCTGCGCAGCTTGGTACAAGGGCATCGCCTGGCCGAGCGCACCGCTGAGCGCACGTGCGGTTCTTCGGCGGCTTCGCGAAAACGCCGCAGAAGAACGACGGGTGGGAGGGTTTGAGGAAACGAAGCCCAAGCTGCGGAACAATGGAACAAAATCAATAGACAACATGGAAAACACATTAAACAAAACATACAGTACATCATTCAACAAATCCATGAGGATGAATATTTTCTCATTTTTTCTCCACCAAAACTGACAACCAAATAGCTGGACCTGCTGGAGCTCTTTCAGGATCTAGAACGATGGTGCCCCACATTGATAGGCCATGGATGGCCACGCACACTACCGCGGCTTAAAGGTATTTCAACCCATAATTGACTGGTTCAACCCACAATTTGCTGGTTTCTATATGATTCTAGGGTCTCCAATTGCTGAGAGGGGGGTGACAGAGGGGGGGGACTTGAAGCAAATCGGTCCCCCCACGACCTTGTCCTTGGATCAGTGTGGATCAGTTACAGTTTCAAGTATGGCCCATGCAGATGAATGCAGTTGGTCTGAGTCTCCATCCGACTCTATCTCTGACTCCTTCCATCCTCTCTCCTTCCATCCATCCTCTCCACCGCTCTCCATCCGACTCTCTGACTCCCTCCCACCTGGTCCCAGCCGCTGGAGCGATACGTGGCGTTCTTGTAGATCACCTGACATGCCACGGTCGACGGCGGTGTATGCCACGGAACCTACGAACGACACCACAGGGGCCCCCAACGGGTTCAGAACACCCCGCTGCTTTGCCAACGGGTTTGAAGGCTTCATGACGTGGTCACTGGAGGCTTCTGGTCTGTCATGGTCCTGTGGCAAGGACCTTCTGAATCCCTCACGGAGCGGATCCTTCTAGTTGGACCGGGCGGACTAGTAGGGCACGGCAAGAAAAGCAAACTATACGATCCGGTTTGTTTGTAACTACTTTGATATTGACAACCCCTAGGGCTCCAAGTACCTCCTCAGAAGGTGGTTAGACCCTCCTGGCACCCACCCCAAACACCTTTCTTAGACACATCAAACTCGACTCGATCTGAACTGTCACAGCCACATCCACTCGATTCGTTCTTTCCAACGGTCCGATGGCCGACCCATGGCCCACCCATCGAACCCACCCCACTGTGCCCAGGTTGTTGGCGGTCCGTGCATCGAACTCCGGCAAGACCTGCAGGTCCGGTCGTGCCGGTTTCTTCGGGGCGAACGGGTGTTCACCGGGCTAGACCCGGTCGCGGTCGGCGCTTGGCGCTTGGCGCTTTTTCGCCTCCAAAGCACAAGCAACTGGTTTTTGTGGTCCTTGGTGGTTGGGGAAAAGCATGCGTGCAGTGATAAGATTTGGAGCCACGGTGACAAGAAGTTTAAGACTTCTTTTAAGACTTCTGATTCGATGCTTTTGAAGAGGTATCCGGTATCGGCGTTAGTGAGTCCCGTATCATACCTTCAATTTCGGGCAACTGTTTTTCACCTTTCTTTTTCACCCTCTGAACCTTCGAACCTTCTTTTTTCACCCTGTACCCTTTCCTTTTTGACCCTCGACCCTTTCTTTTTCAATTCAACCAGGAATTCTCGTCACAAAGAACTTGCCCTGACGCCGACGTCAAACATATATTGCTTGAAGAACAAGAAGCACGCGCGGACCGCGGACCACGATCGCGCGGACCAGGAATTCTCAAATGCCAGGGTTCTTCCGCAAGGTGTGGTCCCAAACCTCCTCCATCAACGTGCCTTGAAATCGATCGTGTTCAATGGTCTATTGAATGGTATACTCCAGCAGTCACAAAGGGGTGCCTATTGGAGGATAGGGGTGCCCATGATCCACTCACTTAGGACTAAACCCCCCCTTTGTGATCCTGGCTGGTCCCTTTTCAATAACAGTCGGTCATGACCAGGTATGTCTTGAAACAATATTCATGACTGCAAATGACCAAAATCTGAGGTCTGTCGGGTTCGTCGTTTCTCGGTATACCGTCACACTTAGCATCTGCCCGACATTTCGGAAAGTATTCAAGCGACATGCGAACAAATCCAAATACATTAAAGGAACAAGTTGATTCTGTGGACGTCGTGGACCAACGTCGCTTGTTGAAATCTCGATTCCAAAAGTTAACATTGAGCGGATTCCATTGGCTTGTTTACCTCTGGTCCTTCGATCTCTGGTCCTTCGATCCTAGCTTCTCCCTTCATCGGCCTGCATTGCTCTGCGGAAGACATCAGCAGCCTCAGCAAAAGGCATATGAAAATATGTGTGTCTCTTGCTTTATACATTTGCTGAGGGGTTCTACACACACTTTATGCCTCAGCCCTATCGTTCGATGGGGTCGGTGACTACTAGGCTGCACAGAAACATCAACAGCACGCAAAGTCCGCCGCCAGCGTTGGCGGACTAAGCAGCCTTTGGAGTCGCCGAGCCCCTTCTTTGCACTCGTTTTGGACACTTGGACCGAGCCCCCTAATTCTTGTGCAATGTTCACCGTGCTTCCAAAGTGATCCTCATTGATCCCTATGCTGCGCTTAGGCTGCGACCTGTAAATGGTCGGAAAGGGTGCAGGTGTTTGCCCTTCGCACCGTTTTCAGCCCTTCGCCCTGTCTTCCTATTGGAGCTCTCAAGTTTGGGATACTTGGGACTGAAGGGCCACACACTCATCTGATCTTCGCAGCTTCGGTTTTAACACCAACCAAGCGAAGGCCCGAAGGCCTTGGAATCGATCGATTGAGTTGCAGGTGAGTTGCAGGTGAAGGAAACACCGCCAAAACACCGGCAAAACCGATGTGAAAACGATGAGAAGGCGTCTTGGCAAGCAACACAGACCCAAATGAACACCCACCTGGTGAGGTAGGTGGGAAACACAACATGTCCGTTTTTGACACCATCCCTTTGCCTACGGAAAAAGCTCATGTGCAACCAAACCATACAGCACCAGTTGATCATTCCTCCATTCTTCGCATGCCCTACTGCAAATAAGTTCAGGAGAAAGGACACATCTTAGAAGATCCGACGATCCCTCCTCACAGTAACAGTCGTCAAACACTGCAGGAGCACCCAGAAACCTGGTAAACATCGAGCCAGACCTCCCCTGGTTCACCTCTCATCCCTCCAATTCGGGCCTCCGCGCCTCCTCCCAACGGTGCTGCCGATCCAACTCGATGCCCTGCGCGTTCCAACGACTCGCGGCCAGGTGCCTCGCAGGAGCAGCACACGAACGGGAAAACCACAGTCAGATGACGCAGTCAGGTTGGTGTGTCCTTTGAAGCACACGAGTGGCGAAGCAACAACCAAAGGCCTGGAACCCAGTGCATGAGAGTGGAGATATGCAGTCAGGTCGGTGTGGAGATATGCTTGGCCAACTCGGAGGTTCTCACCAGGCAAGTTGGGGGAGTTTCATGCTTTCGAAGGAAACAAATAACATGTTTCTTCAAAAAAACCGATCGTCACCCAGAAAGCAAGAACACGAACAAACAACAGACTCTTATAACCTGGCGAACCCATTTTGCTGGAAGGTGACGCCAATTTAGGACCGCCGCAAACGGCCATGAACAAGGTTCTGCTGCTGTTCTCATCAGGTTCTGCTGCTCTGTGTGACTCTTGTTCATACTCGCAGAAAACAGCCATTAGTTGTTGAGCAATTGAGGATGAAACAAACTGATCACAGTCCGGCGTCATCACAGTTGGCATGGCCATGCATGGCCACTGAGGATGAGCAGTCAATGACAGGCATGTGTTGCAACATGTTGCAAGCACTCCGCACAGATTTGCAAACCATGCCCTCTACGAGTACCATTAGAGCCATACACATGCTTGGGAAGAGTCTCTCACCCACCATCAGTGTCTTGTTCGTGATATTTCAGGTGATTTCCTACTCCAAACTCTCCAACCCAGTCGCTCTGCGCCGAACATGTTCGCTCCCAACACGAACGCCCGGACCGAACCGTGCTTCGCCTCTCGGCCAGTGCGGCGTTGGCTGCGGCGACCTGAGGCGGTCGACGGAGAAAACGCGGGATCCCCGGAGCCACGGACGACGCTCCTGGTTGGAACCAGGTACCCAGTCGATTTTTTTGGTTGGAAATGGTTGGAACCATGATGAAGCACCGGTCTGCAGCTGTATAGTAACTGGCTTGGCTCTCTCCGGTTAGGACACCGGTTAAGGGGATGAATCGATGACCGGCCCTGGCGACCGATTTTGTCTAAACCAACCAGGGGAGGCCAACCCACACCAGAGATTTAGGTTGTGTCCGACCCTCACTTGAATCCTCTCTTATACCATTTCCTGTGCTATGCTAAGCATTAGACTGGATTGACGAATCACATGAAATCCCCGCTGCGTTTTGGAGGCTGGAGACACTAGACAGACTTGCCTTTCCATCCTGTAGGTCCTCATCCATGTACAGAGCATCATCAGCCATTCCAACTCATTCATGAGAAGTAGCACTTGCTGCCCAGTGAGTGTCTCAGTTTATTGGGGTTCGCAAGGGTTTTCCTGAAAGGAGGTCAGCCGACCTCTCTCATACGAGTCACCCTTCAAACCATCCCTTCAGGTGGCTCGAATCAGGTGGCGAGACTGGCCGGATTTTGCAACCACGAGAATCTGCAACTGCCACATGACCTGCCAGTGGTTCTGCCTAAGACTTCCGTACCCCATCATACCCCCCAAAACCTGAGACTTGCAGAGGCTGCTCTTGTGGCCATCTTCCTACCCATACACTCCTATGCCAGCCGAGTAGCTTTGTCTCAGGTCGCCGTTTCCAAATATGATGGATAGCAAGGGGTGCTCCAAGTATGATGGATAGTATGATTTCCAAGTAGGTATGGAAGGATAGCCCAGACGCATCCAGACGCTCCATGAGGCAAGGGGGGTGGAGCACACATCCCCCCGCTGCGTCCATCGCTGTGCCTCCACATCACTGTCCAAAACCGGCCTGTGAGGAAAAATCCGGGCGTCGGCAGCGAGTCCCTGAGGTGGAAACCATGCTGTCCTCTTGGAGGTATATATGTTGCTGCTTTTCACTCTATATGTCGCTGCGTTATGTGGGATCAAACCAAGGCCTGCCTTCTGTTATTCACTCTAAGACGCCCAAAGCCACCAAACAAACCATTGATAACCCCTTATCAATCAGGGTTTTGCGCACTTACATTGGTTTGACCTCACATCGCCTACTTGCTGAAAGATATCTATGACCACTAAGCGTATATAGGCTGGTTCGCTGTTCTTCATTGGTATTTTACCTCCGGAGCCCGGAACTTTTGTCAGTGGTTTTACAAACATCATATCAATTTGGTATTCAAACCTTGCGAATGGAACACGGTGAAGGAGTTCGAAACCCTGTAGCCTCTGATCTGCTTGTTGGGTTGCTTTTTCATATTTTTCTACATCCACTCTCGTGATGGATTGGTTTTTTCCTTTTGCTTTCTTCGGCGTTTCGTGAATGGAGCCGAAGCCCGGTAGTAGACATGTCGCAGAAAAAAAACACTGCTCTTTCGGCAGGTCTCGCCATATATTACACTAGATTTTTTAAAGTTTAGCGACTGTAACTTTGCATCTGCTTAAAGCGCCGGAGTAAACTGAAAAAAAGGGGGGTGGTCATGACTTCTGATGGACTTCTGCCCTCCGTCGCTCTTTTTATGTCGCTCGTGTCCCCTGGAGCATCTCTCCGGTAAAACTTAGAACAACTGCTTAAAGGAAATATTGGCAAGAGAGATTGGGAGAGATACACTTTGAGGGTTTTATAATAATGAGAAAAATGTAGGTGTCATTGTTGATTGTAGCGATGTTTGTTGTGATATAACATTTTGACATAAATCATCCTATGCCTTCACACGACAATGAGGATTGCGGTGCTTTCTGGCAGAAAGTGCTGAAACACCAAGAAAAACAGAAACTATATAAATGCTTTGGCTATCTTATCAGGATTCTTTGATATGGTTAAACATTGTGTGTATGATGGTTGGTAAAGTCCTTGCTCAAGCATGGCGATGAATTGTTTACTGACTGTTACAGGTCATAGGACAATCCCAAGTTAAAAGAACGTATGAAAACCTCGGATAAACAATAAAAAGTGATTGCGGTAAGGAGCTCAACCGTAATGGAAAATGGGATGCTATGGCTTCAAACCAAACTCTTCTAGCTTCTTCTAAAGTCTAGCCTTAGAGATGGATGAACTGAACGTTACAAATGAACCTATCACCAATCATGATTAAAAACGGGTGTGAGGCTTAAAGCTCTTGATGGGCTTACCTTTTTTTGTAAAGATGACCCTGCAATCCCTCAAGGTGAAGCGTGAAAGGTGACAGCCGCAAAAGCTTTTCCACCCTCTTCCGGTGGCCTTGGCCATATTCCTATATCCTTCTGGCCCATGCTACTTCCGAATGACTGCAATAGGCGGCAGCAAGCAATGCTGTTTCACCATCGTCAGCTCCTCTCTCAAGCAGCCACGTGACCGCAATAGGCGGCAGCAAGCAATGCTGTTTCACCATCGCCAGCTCCGCTCTCCGTTCACTGCTCTGCACTGCACCGTCCATTGCAGTGCATTGTGTCAAAGCAGTGTGCGAACTAGTCCAGAAACAGGAGTCCGCTTGAGAGCAGCACCGGCTTTCAACTTGCTCTCTGTGTGGTCCATGGGCCTAGTGACTGGCCTAGTGCGGTTTCAAGGGAGGTGGCCCGAAGGATAAGGTCTTCTCAAGAACATGCACCCCAAAGCAACCTACACAACGACCCTACGCAAACAACTGATGCAAGCGCCTCCGCCTACAGCCTACACAAGCCTACCCTCTTCATCTTCTTTCCATCATCAAAAAGACGCGACTCAAATGTACATGCCTTGGTTGGACCTCAGTCCTTCCGTAAAGACCGCACGCAAAGATTTGCATCTGCCAACACCTGAGTCATCCTGAGTCATGGCTGCAGCTGCAGCCGAATTCAGCACTTCAATGGCTTCCTGATCAATGCGGTAGCCTTCAGGCAGTACACTTTGGAAAAAGCATCATACTTTCGTCCAGAACTTTGTCTTGGATGATTTCTTTGCAAAGCGTGCATCCATATAACGGCGACGCTCCTTCTTTGAATAAAGACAGATCCTCTCATCATTTCTTACGTGTGCATCTGTGGAATATCCTACCTTCACATCTTCCTTTGGCTTTTTCAAAGAAGCAACGTTTCAAGAAGCTGGCCTTGATTCAGGGATGAGTGTAGTCTTTGCAAGACTATACGGACAAGAAGACAAGAACCCCCTACAAAACATCAACCCTGCATGTAAATGATCTTCCCCTGGCCTGCTGCCCTTGCCACGGCCTTGGGCGCTTGGAAACGTGCCCACACGACTTCGATCATGGTGTTTTTACGTTCAAGTCTTCGACTTCCAAACCTTGGATGTTGTTCAAACTGGTGAAGGACCTTCATCAAAAAAGGCGTCCAAACTCTGAGGACTGGAGAAAAAGGCGTCCAAACTCAAGAACAACCCACTGAGGTCCCTTTTTAAAAAAACGTGGACGTCCCTGCAAATTTGTTGACTAGATTCGACCAGGAAAAACATGGAAAAACAACTTATAGTGGCTTGAGAGTAGATGATGTAGATGGCACAATCCCCAAAAGGTGGTTTATATGGACCCCGAAATAAAAGACATCTTGGGGTGCCAGTGCCATCTGCTCTCAATCCACTGTAAGTTGTGCACATGATGACTGAACCTTTCAGCCTGTACAGTTTGCTTCGACATCCTCTTGTGACAGGCATGTTTGAGGTCCAAAACCCTGGCTGTGAGGGTCAAAACCCTAGCGAACTGAGGGTCCAATGAGCCTTTGGGGCGGGTCAATCTCACACTTGGAATATAAGTAGCAGTGGATGATGGCTAGTAAAGGCCTGACTGTTACAAGTACTACGACAACCCCCAAACATAGCTCTCTCACACGCCTTTCTGAAAACCAGTCACGGCTCGACCAACGGACGGTCTGCCGGACCGTGAGACCAAAACTTCTCCGGACCCGAGGTTGGATCGAAGCAAACGAACCCCATGAGGTTTCCACCTGGTTCTTGCTCGTTCGTGTATGCCCCCGGGACGTCCATTTCGGTCGCGCTATAGCACCCACGCGCCAAGTACGCGCCAACACCCACGCGAAGGATCGGATCACATGAACGGTCTACGAACAAAAGACACTTGAACGGTCTACGAACTGAAGCTTCCCAATCTGCTCTTGAAAGATCTCTTAGTCAATCTGCACCGACCGAACCTTGGACCAACGTATGGACACCGATCCGGCACCGGAGAGCTGTGAATAAAGAGCTGTTCGTGGACAGTCAGCCGTTGTCCATTTTCCCACACCATCCCGACAGAAACATCAAATCCAACCACCTCATCCGATACACACACACATATCGCAACACACCGCACAGCCATGCACAGCCATGCACAGCCATGCACAGCTATGCACAGCCTCACACCTACCGCCCTACACCCCACCCGGGGCCCGTGTCGTTGGTCGATCAGCTTCGATCGTCCAAGCCGCTGATTTCGTGGCGAGCCACGCGACGTGGCGCGCTGCGCCAACTGCTTCGCCTTGCCGAAGGCCTTCACCGCGGCCTCCTGCAGGCGCTCCTGGCGTGGGCGGTTGGACGGTGGGACGGCGGGACGGCGATTGATGAGCGACAGAAAAAGATTCGCTTCATTTTTCAAAAAAACACAATAAAACATCCAGTTGTTTTTTTTAAATGTTGTTTTCAGTGATTAAGCGTGTGAGTGTCAGCCGCTCACGGCTCACAGTGAGGTGTTCAATTAACTTCAAGCCCATGGAACCAGGTGCCCACGGATCTCAAGGGTGCCTTATGCCTTCTCACTTTGGCCCGCCCATGGCATTGGTTCCATCATCCCGCGTTCAAACACGGGACACACATGGAGCCACCTACAGTGGACTGCCCGTTTGGGGTGCAAACGTCATCGACAGCAACTTGGTTGACTTGAACTGACACAGAAGGTAGATTCACATAGATACTGCCGATAGTCAGTAGCTTCGAAGGCCAACATAGAATCCGTATTTTTTTGCAACATCAAACCTTGGAAGACCATGTTCCTACCGACTTGGGGTCAGCTTCCATGTCAATCTTGGCAGGTGTATCCAAAGCTTTGAGCTGCTTTGTCGTGCAAAGATGTCTGACCTGATTTGGAGGAGCTTTCATCGGTTCTCAACTAAAAAACCTTGACAAAACACAACTTCCCAGAACCTTTTTTTCCACAAAAGAACCTCTTCATCATGTTCAAGACTTGAACAGCTGGCCTTTGCGACCAACTCCAACAGAACACAAAGCAACCATCTCGCATAGCCAACACCCCTCGCGACATACCCACCCAAAGGCCCGGCCCGAAGGCGGGTGCGAGGGAGGGGTGGCGCCTTGAGGGCGCCGCTGCGACTCTTCGCCAGGTACCTCGAAGCGCCACCGGTGCGCCGCCGCTTGCGGCCACGTGGTCGTGCTTTTTTCGAGGCCAGGGAGGCCGCAGATGTGGTGGCCATGGTCCATCTGAAGTTGCAGTCAAAAACCCATCCAAATGGCGTCGCCCATCCTCCATGACTGTAAGTTTGGTGACTGCATCAACCCTTCAACGCTATCAAAACCATCATGGTGCAATCCTCCATGCCTAATGTATCTCGGGAAGAGACCCCAAACAGTGCTTAACACCGGTGCTTAACACCTATACCGGTGGTGAACCCCTGTCGTGTGTCCACACTGTTTGGGGAGAAACCTGGATGATCTGCGTTGTTCTGCGTTTTTCGACCAGCCTCCTCGTTGGACGGAGCAAACGATCAACCCACAGAAACTCATGATTCTGATGGGATCAGAACTTTCACATCAAAAACATGCTCAAAAAGCTTAGCTCAGCAGCTTGGTTCAGATTCTTTGGATCAAGGAGGCGTCTCAAACACCTTTCTCTTTTGCTTTTTTTCTACAGGAGCCAATCCACAAAGTGGTGGAACATGATGATGGCGCAACAAAAATGGAACGAACCCGGTGTCAGCCATTGTGGTTCTTGGGCTACCCGGGTGGTGCAATTCCACCGTCAATTTGTGAAACATGCCTCATCAAAGTATGGATGCATCAACGTTCAGCGGATGTAGGGTTGTTACATAGACCGACCCACAAATAGAAAAGTAGATTCTGATGCAAAAATGTATTGGAAGCCGTGCCACTATCTATTTGGGGATCACTCTCGTTGTTCTCACAAATCATATACCCAGACACTCATGGACCCTCATATAAAGAGTGTCTGGGGTCTCAAATCCCTAGGTTTTGAGGGACCATTCGGGCTGTGAACGGAGCGTCTGGGCATAAAACAGTTCCTTTCATCCCGTGTTTCTTCTTCCTCTCATCTCCCGGCGCCCGCGCATGAAGGTCACTCCAACCTGGCTTGGAAGGGCGAAGGCGTTGAGGCTTGGGCTTTAACGTCGTGGGTTTCAGAGGGAAATGGCACGTTTCCCCATGTCCGGAAACGACAGATGGGGGTCCTCTACTAAACCACCGACAGGGTCTGTGCCATCTATCTCTCAATCCACTATAATGGTCTTGAAGCCATCTTACTGTTGAACCCAATAATTGTTTGTGGGATTCTGTTTGAATTCGGTGCACATGTGCGTGTCGCTCTTGGCGTACATTCCGCCGCTCTCGGCATGGGCTTGCGAGGATGTTGGCTGGGATGTTGTATGGAAGACTGATGACACCCTAGAAGTAGAGAAATAGAACATACACATCCATTGGTTGTGGTTCTCCCCCTATTCTGGAAGAATCTCTCGGAAGGGTTTCATGAACTCCATGAACTCCTTGGCAACTCGACGAGAAGGCGGAGTCGTTTTCATCTCTATTTCAGAACTATGGTGTCTGCGAAGAAATGACATAGACGTCGCTGGAACACCGAAAACAACATGCAAACCCCAAAGCTAAATGGTGGTCTTCCTGTGGGATGTGAAAACATGTGAACACTATAAGACATCTTGCACCACCCAGAATATGCAAACCACTGTAAATCACTGTAACATGGTGTTTTTTGTTGGGTATGTTCTTCCTGTGACGGTAGCGGGCCTCCCACAACACCCCGGGTCTCCCTCCGGGCTGCCCAAGCGGAATTTTGGACTTGCACACTGCCGGCAGAGCGTTCTAAGGCCTTCGCCACGCTGCGCTGCGCTGAAAAGTCACCAAAAAGTACCAGGACAGCAAATGCAGGACGAGATGCAGCATGTGTGGACATCAGGTTTTTCCATCATGCTCATCTAGTTGATGATTGATCCAACTATTGAATTTGAATCATATTACATATTGAATCTTGAATAGCAGTATATAGCAGTCATCACCTAAAGAAATATCCAAGGTGACCCCGTGTTCATTCAACAAAGTCTGCTCATCTTTGGACGGCTACCTCGCCTCAGTCAGCCTCCGAAGGGCTTGCTGGGGCTGTTGCCGTTCCTGAGCGGTTGGTGGCTTGGTTGACTGGTTGATTTCCAAGTGAAGCCCTTCATCTTCCGAATATATCCGGTTTTGTCCATTTTCCTGTCCAACACTTCCCACCAAAAAAGAAGGCAACCACAATGCACAGGCAGTACATGGTCCGCCAGTATTGCCCAGTCTGCCGGTTTAACTTCTGGCTTCCAACAAACCTGGTGCTGAGCACTTCCTTCGTTTTGTTCTTCCTGTCTGGCCTGGCGGTTTCACCCTCGTCTGAACCATTCCGAAAAGCCCACATACTCGTTGGAGGCCTGGTGCCTGGTGCAAACTTCGAAGCCTCCGAAGTCCAAGATTCCAACAGGCTGAGAGCTGCTTGGTTGGCATTGAAACCAGGAGCGTCCTGGAGAACCAGGAGCTCTGGAAAGTGTGTTCTGTCACGCAAGTTTCGAGAAAAAAACCACCTCCCGCCCTAGGTTCTGATCATTTTCCGAACCTCCGCAAACCAGCAATGTAGTGTGTGCCGCAAGCTTGCTCAAAAGTATGTACTTTTCTTTTTCACAAAGAGTTTAAGCCAGGGTGCGATTTCCACAGACCGAAACACAGGCCTGTCCCGAATTCCGGTCATCTCACCAATTAACAAACAGGGATCCACCATGGCACAGCTTGTTCATCGGCGACGCGGACCTTCATCGGTACGTACGAACAGGTCCTGATCCAGGATGAGGGAGAATTCGACGCCGACCTTGGCTTGCCATGAGAGAGGAGGGGTTGTTTCCGAAAGGTAGCAGGCAATCACAAGTAACCCTGGTAGAACTCAGGCAGCTCAAGCCACCTTTCGTGACATGCCGATAAAAAACGAACACCTCCTAGTTGGCAGGCTAACGTTTTGGGATGGAAGGATGGTGGATTTGGAAAGGAACCGCTGCGACCCAATTCAAACATATCCCTGGCCTATCTTTGTGGCCTCTATTGGGAGCCAACGTGGGATCTTGGCCTATCAAAGCAGGGTTACTCAATGGTTGCTTGTAAATAGTAATGAGACACATTAACACAAAACATCAAAGAAGCTGCCAAAACAATATGCCCAAACCACGAACCTGGTGACGTGTGAAAGCGCGCATGACATGATTCCACGTCCAACAAGAGAAACACTCACTGAAGTGATCTGAAAATACCGCGCGGCGATCTGATCTAGGGTCAGAAGTTGATCGGTATACCCTTGCTTCAAACACGTCCAAACACCTCCCTTTGCAAAGGCACATGTTCCCAACAACACAAGAACACTACTGAAAACCTGCGTGATCGGATCAATGCCTGTAAATATGTATTGTAACAAGAAGCTACTAGGAACAAGTGCATCGCTTCTAGTAACAAGTGCCTTACTAGTAGTAACAAGAAGCTAGTTTCCCAAAATCACACCGCTTCAAAAACCGCTTCAACCCAGGTCTCCAGGCACCAACGAAGAACTGGAGTGGCCACAGCCAACGTCGAAGCTCAGAGCCCTGGCGCCGCCGTGCCGCTGCTGTGCGCCGGAGTGTCGTCCGGTGTGGTGCGCAGAACAGGAAGAACAGGAAGAATGCGGGGAAATCCGTTTCTGAAAGGTGTAGGATATCATATATCATATATTGTCTGTGTTAATACATATTCTCTATAATACTATTGATTGTACTATTGATACCATCTATCTTGGATTTCTGGATATTTCTGGGAAAAACCACCGGTCCCAGATTTTCCACCTTGAAGCTCTCCATGTGGCAAGTCCATTGCGTCCACAGTTCGCCGCTACCATCGCCGCTTCCGGTGCCATCGTCGGCACTGACGACCAGGCCGACCGGGCTTGAAACAAAACCGGTTCAAAAGGGAGTCACGTTCCTTCCATTGTGAGAAAGGTCTACACTTGTCATGATCCATGCAGATACTTGTCATGATCCATGCTTGTCATGATGGTTGGGATTTCTTTGATTTCCTGAGCTGCAGAAATGCAGCGCACAGTCTTGCCTCTGCAATCCTTCAACTCCGAGAGTGGCACCTCACGTCACTCTCGGACCACCATTTAGGGCACCGAACAGGTTTTTGGAATGGTTTTGGACACACACCACAAGGATGGGGGGGCTGTGTGTGCAAGGATGGGGGGGCTGTGTGTGCAGCTGTTGTGGCCCACCCCATGTGGTTTCCGGACGAATCTTGGCACCTCAACCGGTCAGGATCCGGTTGAGACGAGGGGGGTCCAACCTGCAAGCAGATCGGAGCTTAACACAAACTAATTCAGCTGAGGAGGAAGGGTCAGGTAAGTTCAAACAGCTTCAAATGAACCAAACATGCATTGAAATTGGGGCCACTCGATGTGATCTGATTGCAGACCGCAATATTTTGACATCAGGTTGTTGCAATGTTTTGTCCAGTTCTTGTCAAGAACTCCCTCCTCTCAAAACCACAAAAAATGCATCAACATGACCAGAGGGCCCCGCTCTCCGTTCTTCCGGGCGCTTCAGGCGCTTCTTCCTCCGGGCGCTTCTTCCTCCCCGAAATCCTGCTTTTTCCATCCACTGTGTTGCTCTGGTCTTCTTGACCGCAGGGGTGAGGGACAAACCGCGAAGGCGCGCGCGCACCACCCTCGCGCGGGGGCCTGGGCGCGATGCGATTACGGCCGTTACAGGGCTGTACAGCCACTCACGAAATGGTAAGGAATGATGCTCTCTGCCTGGACAGGACATGAGGTCTCACAGTCAGACATGGTGGAGGACCTAGACATCTGGACACATCTAGAACCTAGAGACACCAACAAAAAGCTTTCAGTAGTGGAACCTCCCTCAGTAAAATCATCTGTGGACACGTTTAGTGTGCATGGTTCATATGTGTGGTTTGGTGACTCTTGACTCACAGAGAAGGACAACCAGCAGCATCAGCAGCACAAGAATCAACACCTCCTACCACCGCTCCGAACTCCTCTCCCTGCCAAAGATTGCTGGAAATCCTACTGGAGTGGTGTTCTTCTTCTGCGTCTCCCTGCTTCTTCTTCTTCTTTCTTTTGCTGAGCAGCAACGCTGCAGTCTCTGACCGTTGGGCTCTGCAGGTGTGTCCACGCTGCGGCCGCTGCTGCCAGGCCAGTTCAGCGACGGACCCAAACCGTCCTGCTGAAGCTCTTCCTGTCTTCGCTCCTGACGTCGTTGGGATTCCTGCAGCCTCTGGGCTTCCTGATTCCCTTCCAACAACTTGCTCAACTGAATTTCGAGCTGCTGTCTTCGAGTGCTTTCTTTGTGCCACTATATTGTCTGATGCCGAGCCTTTCGAACAAGAAGCACTCCAGGAAAAAAAACACACGTGGTTTGAACCCCTTACAAAACCGGGAGGCTTCCGGTTTGAAGTCCCAAAGTAGCTAAAACATGCTTAAACATAATTCTGGGAAAAGAGCTTTAAAGGGTGAATCAACCGGAAAAGGAGATGACTTCTGTATGCATTCGGCCTAGGGCCTAGTCACCCTAGTCTCTCTCTCTCTCTCTTTCTCACTGTTCTCAAGCCACAGAAACGCCCAAACACGCGCCATGCGACGAAAAAGAAAAAGCGGCGCCTCTCCCAAGGGAGATGGCAAGGTCTCCCAACCTGAGCGCCAGAAATGCTTTCGCAACATGCTTTCGCTGCTTGAGCACGTCCCAAGAGTGGCCTGAGCACCAGATCTCAAAGTGAAATCAGGCCACTTCAATTGTGATTTGTGATTTAGCAGTTTTTTCAGGTGGATGACCCTGTCGCTTCTCTTGACTGATGGATGAAAGATCCCCCCGGCGACTCACTTTTTCACTTTCACTTTCAAGCGCACGGTGTCGTAAAGCGCAGTGCCTATCCCCAAACTCACTGTTAAAGTTGGACATGTTTTGTCACAGTTTGACTTGGATAAGGTCCTGGACTCTGAAACCCAATGCCAATTCTTTGACCAATAAATTGGCAGTCTGATCTGAAGGAAGGTTTATGCATTAAGTACATTTTGGACTGCTTGTGTGTGTGGCCTTCCCAAACATGATGCTACGTGTAAAAAGCATGGCAATCAGAGTATAACCTCCCACACAGCCGGAAACCCAAGTGTTGTTGCTTGTCGGTGGGGTCGAATGGATGACTCGGATACTCTAACCTAACCTTGATCAATGACACCCTAAAAGTCAAATCCTAATGGTCCAAGCAAGCCTTGAGTCAGAAGGGATACCAACTGAAGATGTATATTAATATATAAATGCTATTCTTGAGGCCAGCTTCCCTACATATCGATAAATATCCCAAGTCATATTTATACTGTAAAGTAAATCAACTGTGTGTAAGTCGATCTATAGATAGATGATGATAGATGTCTCAGCCAGGCCTAGTTTGGCCAAAACCAAATTGTGCCGTTTGATTCTGCTCCTTCCTAGCTCATGACCTACAAAGGATTTCTCTTGAAGCCCCATGGCAAATCACCTTGCTCCATCGGAATGCTCTACAGCCTTGCATCAGGGTCAGCCCTGCAAAGGTGCAGAACTCTTCAGCCCCAACCTCCACCCACTTCACTGAGGCTTCCAACAAAGATTTCGGAGGTCCAAGCGCGCAGCACTATCTTCGTGCCAGCGTTCCCGGTTCCAGCCACCTACGTGTTGAACCACCGCGCACGCGCAGGCGGACGGACGGTGGAACCGCCTCACAGGACGTGGGGTGCACTCTGAGACATGGACGCGGAGAAATTGGTCTTCCGTGTTAGTGAGTCAGAGCCATCATGTGCCATGGCAAAGTTTGGATGTCTGACGAAGCCATTGGCGACGATCGCCCCAACTGGCGGCAATTGGTGTGTTTCTGGTGATGGTTTTGCCAGCCACACAAGCGACCTGTTGGGAGGACGTGGTGTTGTGGGTGAGTCTAGTCTGGTCTGCTTTGGTTTGATTATGTTCGCTTGGTTCAGTCATGGAAGGATCTTTCTCTACCTGAAAGCATCGTACGGGCTACAACGGGGGGGGCGTCCACGATCCCATGGGTCGCTTCTTAGAGGAGCCGAGCCACTCGGACCCAGGGGGCCAAACAGTCTGTCAGGGTCTATGTGAGTGGACTCGGGAGTGTAGTACCGTGTCTTCACACCCCAAAGACCACGCTGCCATCCAGTCGCCTGGAAAGCCGCCGTCAGACCGCGCGCTCTGAATGTCACATGTCGATCGTCACATGTCGATCGGTTTTTTCTCACGTTCTCGCTCTGAAAAACGCATGAAATCGGGTGTAGTCCTCTCCGAGCCAATCCCAAGCAATCTTGGGGGTTGAGACTTCATCGCCTTTGGTAGTCTTTCTAGTTTTGGCACTGAAAGAGGCGTCTTGGTAGGTTGCTGACACCCTTTGGACCCATTCGCGCCCGACATCCCCTTTGTTTCGTCTGGGTCACTCATGACCTCGGACCAGAATAATGATATAAATATAGACCTCCTTCCGAAGGTGGTTCCAGGAAGGCCACATGTGCCCGAGGCCGTCTCATCCCTCCCCTCCAGGGCGTGCACCGTAGATGTAGAGCTTACCTCGCAGGGCTGACCGAACGCTGCCGGACGCCGGGACGCCGGTACTGTCCGGTTTCGGGCCCCGGGGTCGTGGACCGTGGACCGTGGTGCTCCCAAGTTGGAAGGAACCGAAGGAGTCCAGTCTTTGCAAAGAAACACCGTGTTGGAAGCAAGATTTGGTTCAAACTGAGCGCGTTTCTATCCGTGCAGGATGCCTTGGGCATGTTGTAGAAAAATGAACACTGTCAACACTGTCTATAGAAATCAATGATCTCATCTTCCCTGTAGACATGACCAAGCCTTAAATGCTTATGACAAGCATGCATGATTGGGTTGTCAAAATATCGAAACTTGGAGTGCTACATGACAGTCACCTCGATCATGGGAGTTTATTGTTATACATTGATTAGTTTTTGTGGAGAGTCATTTTTGCACTTAACTCTCAAGTACAAGCAGTTCCCGGGCAAGCCGGCGGCGGAAGTTTCCTATAAGAACAAATTGACCTATAGGAGTGTTCCGGTTCTCTCAAACACGCGCGTCCCCCAGTCAAACGCACGCGCTCCGGACTTCAACCTTCAGTACAAACTTACCTGTTGACAAAACAATCAACTGTAACCAGTGTTGGGTTATGATGAGTGGTGTATGATGAGTGATGTATGATGAGTCTTGTATGATGAGGGGTGTATGACGAGTGGTGTATGATGAGTGGTGTATGATGAGTGGGCAGCGAGAGATGACTCAGCAATGAGAGATGACTCAGCAACCACAGATGACTCAGCAGCGAGAGACGACTCAGTCGCGAGAGATGACTCAGCAGCGACAGATGACTCAGTCGCGAGAGATGACTCAGCAGCGGGAAATGACTCAGCAGCGAGAGATGACTCAGCAGTGAGAGATGACTCAGCAGCGAGAGATGACTCAGTCGCAAGAGATGACTCCTCCGCGTACTAAAGTTGTACTGCAAAATGGCCAGTTCTCAGCTTCCAGCTCCACAGGTTGCTCCGCATACTAAAGTTGTACTACATAGTCGCCAGTTCTCAGCCTCCAGCTCCCCAGATACTCCGCGTACTAAAGTTGTACTACAAAGTGGCCAGTTCTCAGCTTCTAGCTGCACAGGTTGCTCCGCGTACTACAGTTGTAATACAAAGTCGCCAGTTCTCAGCCTCCAGCTCCCCAGTCACTCCGCGTACTAAAGTTGTACTACAAAGTCGCCAGTTCTCAGCGTCCAGCTCCACAGGTTTCTCCGCGTACAAAAGTTGTACTACAACGTCGCCAGTTCTCAGCTTTCAGCTCTACAGATTGCTCCGCATACTAAAGTTGCACTAGAAAGTCGCCAGTTCTCAGCTTCCAGCTCTACAGATTGCTCCGCGTACTAGAGTTGTACTACAAAGTCGCCAGTTCTCAGCTTCCAGCTCTACAGATTGCTCCTCGTACTAAAGTTGTAGTAGAAAGTCGCCAGTTCTCCCCTTCCAGCTCTACAGATTGCTCCGCGTACTAAAGTTGTACAAAAAGTTGCCAGTTCTCAGCTTCCAGCCCTACAGATTGCTCCGCATTGCTCCGCGTACTAAAGTTGTACTACAAAGTCGCCAGTTCTCAGCTTCCAGCTCTACAGATTGCTCCGCGTACTAAAGTTGTACTAGAAAGTCAAGCTCTACAGATTGCTCCGCGTACTAAAGTTGTACTACAAAGTCGCCAGTTCTCAGCTTCCAGCTCTACAGATTGCTCCGCGTACTAAAGTTGTACTAGAAAGTCGCCAGTTCTCAGCTTCCAGCTCTACAGATTGCTCCGCGTACTAAAGTTGTACTAGAAAGTCGCCAGTTCTCAGCAGTGCCTGCCACAAAACCTCCACATGGAGGTTCACAAAGCGCTGCGCCTGCCACGAAATCTGCACATGGAGGTTGACAGAGTGCTGCACCTGCCACGAAATCTGCACCTGGAGGTTCACAAAGTGCTGTGCCTGCCACGAAATCTGCACATGGAGGTTCACAAAGTGCTGTGCCTGCCACGAAATCTGCACATGGAGCTCCACAAAGTGCTGCGCCTGCCACGAAATCTGCACCTGCAGTGCCTGCCACGAAATCTGCGCATGGACATCCACAAGGTGCTGCGCTTGCCACGAAATCTGCACCTCGAGGTTCACAAAGCGTTGCGCCTGCCACGAAATCTGCACATGGACGTTCACAACGCGCTGCACCTGCCACGAAATCTGGACATGGAGGTTCACAAAGTGCTGTGCCTGCCACGAAATCTGCACTTCAAGAAACAAGTGAAAACTCTAATCCCAATGGAGGGACGATTCCGACCATGCCC